CAAAGTCTGGGTGTGCCCCACCCCCCCCCCCCCACATGCACCCTCTCCCCATCGACCCCCTCTGGCTACTGGAATACAAATTGTGGCATGATTCAGAGCATGGATTATGAGTTCAAGTCTATCAGATTACATTCAGTCTGGATTTAGTTGGAAAAGTCTCCAGAAAAATGTCTTCTCTCCAAACATCTCCCATTTTCTTCCTTCCTCGTCATTTTTCTCTCAAGAAAAAAAAAACAATTGTTTTTACCCTCATTTCCAACAAGAAAAAAGTCTCAGAATTTATGACCAAAATACTTGCTAGGACAGCAGTACACAGAGTAGAGTCTGGACAGATACTACGTCTCTAACTAACCCGATCCACAATCTGTGTATTTTTGGTAGATGGCAGAAAGTTCAGGTACTTCAGAGTATCCACGATAACACCCACGGTTTGACGGTTCGACCTGACAGACCCCCAGATATAGGACCATCTGCTGCGGCCCAGACAACCGGAAACACCGCTGTACGGCAACGACAGTGTTCCACAATTTGGATCAGAAATTAAAAAAAAAAAAAAATCAAATATGAAATTAAAACAATTATGTTGCAGTGGTAGGACCCGTGTCTGTCATAGAAAAGGTTCAGGGTTTGATTCCACCTTGGTACAATACCGGACGGAAGTTCGAATCAGCGATTCTTAAAATTAAAATAATAATAAATTATGGTGTAAGAGAAAAATATAATCAGGACATATTTATGGGGGGGTCACATGGCGGGAACCGCGGCCCCAGATTGGGTCAGCGGATACACCATCATGGTCCATTTAGGCCAATTCTTCAAGTTACGTCGTGCGTGTTATGTGCTTAACGTGCGCGCAAAATACCTATGACCTGAAGTGATGGGTGACTCGTGCGTAAAAGTGGCGCAAACACAGGCACTGGTACTGATCCGGCTACAAAGACGGTTCCTGTGGCAGGCATTCGTATTGATAGTCGTTTAATTTTGGATTTAATCAAATTTCGAACTCGCAACCATCGCATAGATTTAAACTGATCCAGGCCTAAAAACGGAGTCACACCGTCAACCCGTCACACAGTTAATGCTGCTGCTGCTGCTGCTGTGTCGTCGTGTCGTGTTTGTTGTTTGTCCGTGTCTGTGTCACATGTCTGCAGCGGTGTCTCCCAGTGTCTGCTTTTTTCCACTGAGACCTGGTCTGTTTTGGAAACAGTGAAACAGGATCCGGTATAAATCAGTGTTAATGGTCGACACCGTGTTGTGAGAGCGGAGTGTTTTTCTCCTCCTCCCCGGTAGTCTGTCAGGAGCCGGAGCTCCGGCCCTGCCCTGCAGTAACATGTCCTGATCTGGGAACTCGAGTCGTGTTTGGGATAAATATGGAGGAAAGGAAGTCAGGCGGGAAAAGTCAGGGTCAGTTTGGAAAAACGAACTTTTTTTTTCGTAAACAATGTCTGACATTTCTGGGGGAAAAAGAGCAGAGATAATTTAGGTCTGACTCTGAATGTTAAAAGTACAACTGGAGAATAGAAAAGAATAAATGAATAAAGAAATAATGATGTTCAGGATTGAACCGAAAATCACCGAACGTTTAGTAGATGTCTTTAAACGCTGTTCTTGTTTTCACACGATTTCAGAAAATGTTTAAAGAATCAGAATGAATAGAACGAATGCTTCCAGAACCAGTCAAATTCTTCAGTAAATTAATACAAAGCGAAATTCCTCAAAACATTAGCAATTAGCCAAACTGCTACGACCCAAAAACGTGTAAAATGAGTTGTTTTTAGTAAAAGTATTTCAGTCGTGTTCAACCTGGTCTGACTCTGACTGTAAAGAACTAAAGGTTACATTTAAAATACATGTATAATTATTAGAATTATTACATTAACTATTTTTTTTCTATTTTAAGAATACGTCACATTTGCGGACAAAATAACCAAGCACTGCTAACCATGCTAACCATGCTAACCCTGAGGAGTGTGGATGTTTTTACCTGACACACACACACAGACTGTCGGTGATTTTTCTCCTCCACTGGCAGCAGCGGCCTGTGTTCCTTTTTTTTGTTAACGTTTCCATCTCTGCAGCCTCCTCTCTGACTCCGTCTCTCCCCCTCTTCTCTCCCTCCTCTCCCCACCAGTTAGTGACAGTGCAGCCTTTTCCAGCGCCAAACTAGAAGAATGGAGCGCGTTAAACAGGACTAATTTCCCAGCAGCCATCTCTCCGCTAGTCAGTGACGTGGATAAACCGCATTTAGAACCTGAAGCAAAATACACACAGGTAAAAACAAAAATAATAATAAAAAAAAATGAGAAAAAAAAAATGCAATAATTAGCAGCTCATTTTATAACCTTAAATTGTACCGTAATTCACCCAGAGCTTTCTTGAATAATTTGAAATAATAATATAAATAACGGTAATAACAACAATAATGATGACGATAATAATAATAATGATGATAATATTAACAATAATACCAGGCCATAATACATGGACTGTGCCGCTGCAGTGACGCGCTCCTCCTGTTTTTTATAGTGTGTTTTAATGGTGTGTGTAAATGTTTCCTACTTTTTCACAGTAAAAGTTTGTGATTTTTTTTTATAAGTTAGTTCTTTAGAAATAATCACTTTTAAGAGATTGAATCTGACTGGTTTCAGTAAAGTGTGTAGTTTTTTTAACTCAAGTTAAATCAAAGAGTTCAATGAATTATTTATTATTTTATTATTTATTATTTGACATGGACATATTTAGGACAAATAACGGACGTTTCCAAATAATCTCATTATTTATATTATTCATATACATTTTTCAGAACTGGCTAAATTTATTTTACACGACCTGCTGTTTATTGAACTACTTTTATCACAGTTAAAGACACTGATGTTGGACACCAGGAACAAACAAGGGACAAAAATGACTTTAATTTATCAATAATAAAACCGTATGAATACGCTGATAAATAATTAAAGATTTCTGCCCAATTAATGTTGATAAAAGTCAGAAGACGCTGATAAACATTTGAAGAAAAGAAATGTAAATCAACGACGAATTAATTTTTATTTACAGTATACGATTATGTTAAAGTAAAAACCAAACGTGACGTTGGACGTAAAGAATAACAGCAGGAAACATCATTTAATTAAAAATATTAAATGAAACGAGATGATTTTGTTTTTAAATTTCGAGTTAGGAGAAATATTTTCTTTGTTTTTAAAACTTTAAGTCTCATCACATTTTCTATCACAACGAAGTTTTCGTTCCATATTCTTAGCGAAAACGATTTATTTTTTAAAACGTAAAGAACACAAAGATTACAGTAAAAAAGAGAGACGTGAAACAAACAGTTTTTTGTTTAGTAAAATGATTTAGCGCTATTTTAGGCTGAAGGAATTGAACATTCTTACGTTTTCCCTGAGGATGACATGAATGTCAGTTGACTGCAGGGCCACACACACACATATACACACACACACACACACTTTAATTAAAACCGAGTCCAAATCAGACAGGAAATCTATGTTAAATATAGATTAGAGTCAGTGGCGGCAGTAATTACAACAGTGTAATCTTCACAGTAATTATTATTATTATTATAACAATTATCATTTTAATCACTATAAAAGTTCAGGCCAAAACCTGTCAGAGCTGAGGTTATTGCTATCATATAAAAAAATTAAGTGTTTTCTTTTTAAATATTTTATCATTGGAATGCCCTAAAATAAAATACAGAATTTATAAATATCTAGTTATGAATGTAAAATGATAAAAAGTGACTTTATATATATTTTTATATTTATGTTTTATATAAGACTTGTGTCAAGAGTTAAGAGTTGTGTCAGTTTCAGTGTTAAATATTGATTAATGTCCATCATTTTTCAGTTTTTAACTTTAATTTACTGGCTGTCAGACCGATTTCACACATGTATTTTTAAAATATTACAAGATAATTTATGTTAAAAAATAAAAACAATAATTAATCTGTAACCTGTTCATCTTTGAATAAATACATTAAATAAATAATACTAGGGTGTCCAGAAAATACACACAAATTCTCTAAATTCTGTAGAATAAAAAAAAATTTAATGAAAAAAAATAAGAATCAACCAGCGTTTTTTAAACATTGGTTTATCTTTTATCTTTAAGAATTTTTTCTGCACATTTGTTTGGTCTAAAAGATGAAAAAGTAATGGACTGATCCACAGAAAAACTTAAATTAAATCAGTAAACAGAGTGGAGAAAAATACATTCTATTCCACAATCTGCTGTAATCTGATTTGTGTCCAAACACGAATTTAATTTGGGTTAAAAAAAATCCAGAAGAATTGACTAAAATGAGGGATTTTAGTAAATGTGAATTTCCCCTCTCCATCCTGTCCCTGTCTGTTCTGTCTCCAGAAGCATCTGGATGGACAGAGACAAAGTTAGGACAGTAAGATAAATCACTGTGACTGTATAGTGGTGAACGACCACAGCCGTTTACAACAACAGACCTCAGCTAACACAACACCCGGCGACCCCGGAGCCCTCTTTCTGTGTACTGTCTCTAGATCCTGACCCAGTGTTTGGGGAGCCCGGAGTCTAGATGGCAGCACGGGAGCAGCCGTGTAAACAGGCTGTAAACCCTGTGTGATGACTGTTTGTCAGACAGGTGCTGATTTCTGCTCTGCTCCGTGTTGTACTCCGAGGTGTTCCCTGTTACTGTGTGTGTATACGGAGTGTAGGCCCCGGCTGTGTAGTCACTGCGTACATGTTTATGTTTGTATGCAGCCCAGTGTGTGTGTGTGTCTGTGTGTGTGTGTGTGTGTGTGTGTTGGTCAGGCCAATGTGGTGGTTTTTAGACGATGTACAACATTAATTTGAAACAGCTCCGCGGCAGCTGAAGAATAATAATCCGTTGTACAGTGACGGAGCTGGGTGAGGACACACACCCAAACACACACAACCAGACACCCGGACACACCCAAACACACACAACCAGACACACGGAGTCAGCCAACCACTGACCCACGCACACACACACACACACACACACACACACGAGCATTCTTAAAGCTGCGTAAAGACCAGCGGTGACAGAAGGGTCATTTCTCATATCTGCATTCAAGGGAAAATGGACCGTGTCCCCTGTCAGTCAAGTCGGCGCAGCCAAAAAAGAATCCCAAATGTAGAAATAATTGTCAGTAGTCGGACCACCCAGGACTGGGAGATCCGGCCTCCCTGGTCAGACGCTGTTTTTTCGGTGAATTCCTGGAGTTAAGTCCTGTCGCTGTGCCAGAGGCCGAGGCCGACTCCTGCTTCAAACTCCATTTCTCTATCGTATTTCTCCTCTTCCTGCCCTTTCACTCTCAATCTTTCATGACATCTGTTTTGTGGCGCCCCCCTTCCTCCCAAAGACTGAACCCCCCCGTCTCCCATCGTCTGGCGCGGTATATCACTGCCGCCGCCTCTGCTGCTGCTGCTGCTGCAGAGGACGGCCGTGGAACAGCCACTTTTTTTTTTTTTTTTTTTAGAAAGGCAGAAAACAAGGCCCACATCCACTCCAGACGGCCAATCAGGCGTAGAACGTGTGCCCTAATGTGTTCCAGGGGGCAGGAGAGAGCACATAAGTGATCGTCCGTACTCGGGGGGGAGGAAACTCGACGGAGGGGTTTCCTGTGGTGGCTGTGAAGTGAGGGGAGTCGGTGCTCTTTAGAACGCCGTCCTCACTTCTCCACAGAGAGACTGTTGTCTCCGTGTCCACCTGAGTCCCACCGCCTCAGTAACAGCTGACTGTGCCGTGGCCCCGGGAGAACAATGCTGCTCAACGTATATTTTAAAATATTGTTTTGGGGTTTGATAGAGAAAAGGACGTCAGTTTAAACAGTGTTAATTTGCTGAGTCATACTTTTCTGTCAAGGACTCAGTCAACAACCAAACAGGAGGTAAATGTGGGACTTAATAATGTTGAGATACATTGATCTATGAACAAGACAAAAATAGAATCTGGCAGCGACTACATTTCCTGATATTTAACCATATATATGTACTGTATATATAAGAATATATACTTACATATATACAGGAAATTTAGTCCCTATATATATGTTGACACACATATATCTATGTATATATAAACACATATATACACACAAATATGTGTGTATATGTAATATATGTATGCACATATATATGTATGTACATAAGCAAAATAAGCTATATAAGGCCAATTAAGATTTTATTGAAAAGAAGTTCATTCAATTTTATGAACATAAATATAATATATTACAGATTGTATTTGAGTCGACTGAAACTAATTAAAATTTAGTCAACTAAAATAATTTTAATATTTTGTTGACTATAGCAATCGTCATAGGAAGCTCAAATGATTCTGCCTCGGATAATTAATAATAAAAGTTAGTAAACACAAAAATTCCATGATCAAATTTGTAACTGACTGTAGTTGTTTTAAGTTCATCAAACATGTGGGACCAGTATTTGGACCAGTATTTGGACCAGTATTTGGACCAGTACTTGGACCAGTATTTGGACCAGTATTTGGACCAGTATTTGGACCAGTATTTGGACCAGTATTTGGACCAGTATTTGGACCAGTATTTGGACCAGTATTTGGACCAGTATTTGGACCAGTATTTGGACCAGTATTTGGACCAGTATTTGGACCAGTATTTGGACCAGTATTTGGACCAGTATTTGGACCAGTATTTGGACCAGTATTTGGACCAGTATTCCAAAGTCTCCGAGCCCTTTCTTCTTTGGTGAATCTCTGAACTTCTTGATGGTCTTCTGTCGTGGACCCTGGTCTTCAGTTCACTCCACAGATGTTGGTTGGACTTTAGGTTTTTCTTCCGTTTGCTCCAGGTTTTCTTCTCATAAGTTCTACCTTCTTCACTGTTTCTTCCACTCTTCTGAGAACTGTTCTGGTTACACCAAAGAATTTCCACACTCCCATCTGTGTGTTCTGCTGTATCACACATCCACACCTCAGGTTTAGGTCCGTCTCTTTTAACCCTGATCTGGTCCTGTTGTTGGACGACAGGTCTGAAACCTCTGTCTGTTCTAACTTGATTCTAGTGGCTGTCACGAGTTATTGACCAGTCACCTGGCAGTTCTTCCACACATCTCCTACCAGTTGTCTTTCCAGGACCATTTTCTACCCAGCCTCAGATCTCTCTGTGAGCAACGATCACCTTGTTGGTTCAGAGTAAACTACATTACTTTACTTACTACTTTACTTATGCGTTTTAAATATGTTTCTGTCCCAGGTTAAAGGGTCAGACCATAAACCAATGTATCACAAACATAAATGTTTTAATACAGTTGTTAGTTAGTTAGTTGTTAGTTACAGTTAGTGTCGAGGTGAAGAACGTTGTTGTTTTTTTTACACACCACCGGTGTCCACAGATATTTTTGGGTTTGTTGAAAAAAAAAAAGTTGTTTTGTGAAGCTAATATTTAAAGAGAAAGGCGTTAACATCTGGAGCTTCTGTATCAAGAAAATATTATTCTGCAGAGAAACGTTTTTAAAAACATTTAATCAAATATCTGTGGTCCAGGGGTCTAGCTCGGTGATGTGCTGAGGACAACACACACACACACGTAAAGTAACCCCCCGCCCCCACCCCCCGGCACAGCACCGTGCTGCCCACTGCTCCTGTTCCTCAGATGGCTTTGATGCAGAAGATAAAACGTAACTTCTGCTCTAAGTTGTCATCTTGACATCTGTATTATACACACACACACTCTCACACACTCATCTCCTTTGTCTCTGTTCCAGATGCTGAATGGCTTGCCCACAGTGAACAGCTATGCCACAGCACCCAGCATCACTCCCTACCACCATCCCACCCAAGTGTCACCCTACATGGGGTACAGCGCCACCACGTCGGCCTATGTGACCGGAGCCACATGGCAGCCGGCCAGTGGCAGTGCTCCATCTCCCCGCAGCTGTGACATCGCCGCCCCTCTGGCCTTCAAGAGCATGACGGCCGGCTGCGACTCCATCCACCAGGTCACCGCCTCGGTGCGGTGAGGTCAGCCCCGAGGACTGATGGGACGGAGAGATCAAGACGGCCACCCTGTGGCGGCCCTCGATCCGGTCCCACTGCCTCCTTCCTCTGCCAAGGACTTGACCCCGGGACCCATATTTGTGGCGTCCCTCCAACACAGACAGACCAGAGACAGGACTGGAAATAAACAGCGAGACCATTTTGACCACAAACACGTCTGAAAGAAGTTGCAGGACAGGTGTAACCGAGGGACTGGGACTGGGACTGGGACTCCATCCATTCATCTATCAACACGACTCCTCTCCAGATTCTTCACTGAGCTCTTCTGCTGCAATCGTCTTTGGGCAAAAACAGGGGGGTGACGTAGAATTCCAAAAATATGCAATCAAAGAAGAGGGGAAAAAAAACTCTGCATTTGTGTTTTCAGGGTGCTTATTCATAGCTTTTCTTGTGTTTGTTTTGCTCTTGTTGTTGTTGTTGTTTATGTTTTGATATAAGTCACATTGTGTCCTATGGTGCATTGTTTTCCCACTTCTCTAAAAAGAAACAAACAAACAAAAAAAAAAGAAGAAGAAATGTAGCCGATGTGCAGGAGCTCCACGCTGGGAGAAGTTTATTTATTAGATTAAGGTACGTTAAATGAAGTGCAATTTGCCTCACAGACGGATCAGAACCTCCGGGAGCGTAAAGAATAGAATTGGCTTTGTTCTGATGTCGGAGTCTTCGAGCATTAACAATTGACAAATGTTGCACAATGAAATTGAATGTATCTTATTAAACTGTTTGGCTGTTACTGCTCTGCTGACGTTTGCCAGTTGTTTTGGGGGAAAACGGGGGGGGGGGCAGAGGGGGGTCCTGGAATATTCAGTTGGTCTGGGAGCAGATGAGGATCATGTGACTACAGTCAGGCTCTGTGGGTCGAAACTCTGTTCTACAGGAGAAGGGGAAAAAATCTCTGGACTTTCTATTACAGTGTTTCACGGCTCACTAAGAGCCTTCCTTAGTGTGGAGTCAATGAGTGTGTGTGTACCAGTGTGTGTGTGTGTGTATGTGTGACCACATCGTACAAATCTTTTAAAATCCTCCTAACCCACTCAAAGAACCAGAATCAGGTGTTCGAGCCTCACGCAGCAACTTTTTTCTTTTTTTTGGGGCTCATAAAAAATAATTACAGCGCCGTGTTCCCAGAGTGTGAAGAGAGACCGTACTTCAGAGCAGTGACATCATGTTCAGTCACTTGATTGACGCGCTCACTGAAAGCAACCGGCTAAAGTGAACTGGTGTGTTTTTGGTGCAGTAAAGGCCGAGCTCCAGGGGTCAAAGGTGACTGGCTTAATTCAACGGGGGAGGGCGGGGGGAGGCAATATATACAGTAAAGGTAAATTATACCAGGGCGGCACTTAGGGACCGTAATAAAGTTTCCAAAAAAACCCTAATGTACTTGACACCAATTATTATGTGAAGAGAAATAGTTTCAGTCGGTTGTTTTTGTTTCTAAATTCTGATTTACTGAAGATACAATAAAATAAAATAAAATAAAATAGCTAAAGAAAGAAATACTATTACTATTACTACTTACTATTACTATTTTTATTTACTACTATTTAATAAATAAATAAAAAAGTAACAAGAACCCAGAACAGTTCAGTGATGCATGTCTGTTTGATGAGGTTAATTTCACCATTATATTTTATACTCTATATCTACAACATGACTTTGACTTTGGTTTTAATTTGTCTCGGCTGTTTACCTCGTTCACATATTTATGAAAGAAAAGTGAAGGGTATAAAATAAAAATAAAAAAATGTAGTTTAATTTTTAACACTTAAAAATATCTACATTACAACTGTTATGTTCTACAGGATTATTGAAATATGAAATACATTTGTTAAATGTTCCCGGTAATTTCTGAATTTTTAACATTTAGGGAATTTAAACATTGACTCGAATATTTTGTAATATATTTTAAATATTTACTGTAACTGGTTTTCAAATGGGATGTGACCTAGATGTGGGTGGGCTGCATGTATTTGGTAAGACACGGATTGGACGACATCGGTACTGCAGTACGTTGCTGGTGTACTGTGAAGCGTGGTAAATGTACTACTTCACTGCGTACTTAGTCAAACAATATTTTGCGTCATTGCAAAATATTTATTTTAAACATTTCCAGTCAAAGAGTTTATATTTTGCGTACTGTCCAAGTACTAGTACATCCAATATTTTCAGATTTAAATGTAATAATTTTCAATCGTTTTTCGGACCGTGTACTAGTACATCCAATATTTTCAGATTTTAAACGTAATAATTTCACTGAGGATCACAGCGCTGCTCCTTTTGTTTCGTGGTTTTAAATGCTTTCAGAAAGAGTTGTGTTTGTGTCATATGTGGCCGTTTACAATCATTTGAAACCTATAAATGTGACAAGTACGTTTGCATCTGCATCTGCATACACACACACACACATTTGCATATGTGTGTGTGTGTATGAATACAGAAGAGTTACCATCATGTAAAACTCACAACTCAGTTGCCTTTCAATTTGAGACCTGTGTTCCGATGATTCCTCGTCTCCTCTAGTGAAGATGGAGTCTGCGTGTGTCCAGAAATCCCCAGACAGACGTCCAGGCCTGCGGGTCCAGAGGTCATCAGACATGTGACCCTGAGCCGAACCTACAACAGCCACAAAAAGGCCCAAACTGGGCCCCAAACAGTGCAGCACAGTAATGACATGTTGACAAAAGTGATGCAAAAATACGTTGTTTTTCTTTATAGTTGAGAGAGGGTAAAAAGTACAGTGTCATAAATTACCAGTGAATCTAAATGTGGGCTGACAGTGGAGAGCAGAGTTTAAACAAAGTGCAGTAGCAGATGAACCAGGAGATAAGATCACTCACCTGCTCTTTAACCTGAGGGCTGAGGAGGAGGAGGAGGAGGAGGAGGGGGAGGAAGAGGAGGCTCTGGTTCTCCCTACTCCTCCTGCCCCTGTGTTACAGTATAAACACGTCCCTCCGTGTGACAGTGTCAACAACAGTCCTCCCCGATGCGAGCCGGGCTGATTTGACTTGGAAAGTACTGCTCCCCGCATCCAGTGGTCACGGACCGTTGCTCAGGGATCGTAGTGTTTCTTTGACCGTACGTGAACCACATCACAGGGACGTGATAATCATACACTCTGGGCTCCGGGCCGGCCCTCGCGGCCACCACCTTTCACCATCCTCCACCATCCTCCATCCATCACGTAGATGGAAAAAAAGCTAACTCTGAGCAGCAGGAAAGAGTTGTAACATGCTAGGTTTTTTCTTTTTCTTTCTTTTTTTTTTTTTAAACTCATCCTGCAAACAACAAGGCCAAACAACTTTTCCTTTCAACTGCACTACATGGACCAAGCAGTCTTGTAAGTCTCCTGTGACTCATGCAGCAAAATTAAAGTGTGGTCGCCTTAATTGACACCAGTATTTAAAAAACTAGGAACACTGTGTCTGTACACAGGAGGAACTGCTTCTCAAACGGCCCATAATCCTTGTTGTTACAGACTAATGTTGGTCAGCTTTATGGAGGCCAGGCCTAAAAAGGCATAGTTTCAGAATAAGGCATGTGTTTATAATTAATGATGCCGAGTCTGACTCCAGTGTCATATGGTTATCTTTACTTTCCACATGCAATCAGAGACAGGACGGCCGTGTGCAGAGTAACACAGAGCAGAGGAGGTGAAGGCAGCACCTCCTGCGTGTTTCTGCTCAGTGCACATTTTTAAAAGAAGCTGACAGCAGCCAGAGTGTTTTCTTAATGCCTTAAAACAGCAAAGGTTTGTGCCGACAGGTGAGCTAAACCTCACACAGAGGACGGGGAGGGGGGTGAGGGGGGGGGGGGGGGGGATTCAGCTGTGCGTGGAAAATCACAACACTGGTCTGGTTCTGTGTCACTGCTGTGTTCATGTGCAGCATCAGTCTTCAATCACGCCTGGATTTCTTTAGAGTTTTTTCCACACCTAGTGTACGTTGCTGGGTATTTTTAAAGAGTATTAATCATTAGCAGTGACTGCGGTGAGTGGGTAGAGGCAGGTACAGCCACGCAGGCCTGTCAAGGTGGAGCCGCCAGAGTGAGACGCTCAGGAAGAAGATGAGGAACACGCACGCTGACAGAGGGGGCTGGGGGTGTGAGCTGGGGGAAATGGAAAACAAGTGGGTGACACGGCTGCTGATTTATGACCAGTGATGTGAGCGCAGGTGAGGAGGAGGCTCCGCTGCTGCAGTAACACGGCAACTGCTGACTCACATCCATGCAGTTTGTACAGGCTGTGTGTAAATGACACACAGGGCAGGTTTCATGGCCCGCTGTTCCAAAGTTTTCAAGATGACAACAGTCGATAAGGGAAAAAATCCTGAGGGCAAACAGCTCCCCCTGTGACATTCAACACCATCATGACCCAACAAATGGGAAAGACATGCGGCGTATTGAACACATGACTTTGTTTAATTACTAATATACGCCCCACATGTTTGGACACATTTTTATCAAACAGGTTTGATTCATTCTCCTGCTTTTTGTCCACACTTTGATTCATTCTCCTGCTTTTTGTCCAAAAGACAGTTCACACAAACTAGGTTGACAAGAATTAAATAAAACTAAAGGAAATCAACAGAGTTAGTAACATTGAGACTTACATTTTTAAAAAAGAAATCTATGAATATTAAAAGGGTAAATATTTAATTAGCCATTAGTGACACAGTTAGCAAAAATGACCATGAAAGGCTCAAACCTTATGATAAAAAATAAACATTTAGCTAGAGGTTTTTATTTAGCTAAAAAAATAATCAAAAAGTAAATAAAAGTTAGCACAGGTTAGCTTAAACTTAAAGGTAGCTTAAGTGACGGCACAAAAAGCTAAATGTTAGCCAAAATATCTAAAAAGAAAAAATTCACCCAAAATGAAATTCATGTTGATTAAAAAATAGCCATGGAAATACTATTCTTGATTTGATTACAATCAAATTGCTAAAAAACAAACAAACAGAAACATTAGCAATAGCTGTTAGCCAAAATGAAATAGCTAAAACATAGCTTCAAATGAGCCAAACTGCTGAAAGGTCTTTTTTCCCAAACCATAAAAAAATCTGGCCACACAAAACAAAATGATATGAAGGTTAATTTGGGATGAAAGATAAACCTTTAGCAGCCAATAAATGACGAACATTTAGCCGAATATATGTGGGATTTACCAACACCTCCGATACTGCAATAGATGGGCATGTAATACAAGTACGATCACAACAAAGAACTCCGTCGTCAGACTTTTCTTTTCAGAACTTTTCTGTGTCTAAGGTGAGAAACCAGGAGCAGGTTCACTCCGGCAGAGCCCAGGTCTCACATTAATAATGAGGGTTAAATGCCAGCGTGACTCAGGATCTGCTGCTGGCTGACGGCTAAGATGAGTCTCTTTAAGAGCTGCCACTCAAGCCCTGAGGCTGTGCAACAGGTGTGTGTGTGTGTGTGTGTGTTTGCATATTTGTACAGAGGAGAGACCTGCACAAGGTCCTGGAGCCACATTTGACTTTCTCTAGCTTGTTTTTTTAGCTTAAACTATGCTTAGACACAGAGAGAGAAAAGACTGACACTTGTTTGGCCAATGCAGCCTGTACTGGCTGACAGGTTCTCACAAAAACAAAGTGGAGGAGCAGGAGGAGGAGGAGGAGGAGGAGGAGGAAGGAGAAGACGTGATGACATCGAGGAAGCAGAAACGCTTTTGTCAATACCAGGGAAGACTGAATAGAAACAAGACGTAGTTCCCGTGTAATTCTGGTTTCAAATGAATTGTTGACGCCTTTAAGAAGAACTAGCATCGAAGGGACTCAGGGAGACAGTTAGAACTGTCCACACTTCAGATGAAGACAGGTTCAAGTCGCTGTGGAGTGAATTACAAACAGTTATGGGTTGAGTTTCGTTTTTGGGATTTACAACAGAAATGTGCAGTGATTGCACTAATGCAGTCAGATTTTCTCTTTCTCTTTTCTCACCCTGTCAAAGCTGAAACTGACAGTTTTAGCCTGGTTGTTGTTGTTAAACACCCACCAAACAAAGGTGTGGATCGTTTTTATACCCACTGTTCGTTCAGAGAAGACAAACACTGACCTGTAGAGGACACACACCTCACACCCCCCCACACACACACACACCTGCACAAACTAAGTGAGAACGTTGTTGTTTTTTCTTCTGTTTTTATTGGTCCACAGTCATGCACGCCACTACTACTACTACTAATAAGGTTTTAAAAAGTGATTAAAAAGACTTCATACTCGCCTGATTTACAGAAGGATACATACAAATATATCAGTCACGCACCAACGTGGGGTCCAGTAAAAGTCTGTGTACGCTCGCTCTTACAGTAAGGCAGTGTGGTACGGTGGTTCATACCATCAGAGTTCACAGTATCCTCGGCCTATTTCATATCAGTTAATGAACAGGTGTGCTTGTATATAGGCAGTATATAGATGCATATGTATAAACAGTGGTTATCAGGGGAGTGGGGGGGGGGAGGGGTCAGGGGGTCAACAGTTTAATGATGTCACAGTTACACTCAACAACTCTACATGATGTTTGTACATGGTGAATACTCCTGACCTGTGCGTAGGCCTTCACTTCATCTTCATCAACACCCCAACAGCATTAAAATACGAATCCAAACTTCATCAAGTCCTTCATTAGGCTAATGTGACCACTGTGGTTTTTGATTGGACTGGACTGAAATAAAAGGCGTTCAACTGTCGTCAGATTAGAACAGAGACGCTGCTCAATTCTGATTGGTTCTAAAACCTGTTTGGTTCAAGTGAATCTGACCGGCGGTCACCAGTAGGATGAGTGCAAAAACAAAACAAACAAAAAAACTGTAATAATAATAAATGCTGGTTTGAGAATATAATCATAGAGCAAGTGAATAAAAAAGATATTTGGATATTTGTTTTTCTAATGAAATGTGTCAGTTTCCTCCAGGACTGGGAATGAAAAACAATCCTTAGAAAGAGTCTTTCTAGGATATACTGGTGTGTTTTTTTTCTGTCAGTGTTGTGTA